GCCACAATGCCTGGCCATTTTTTGATTGCAGCCATCATTGTTGTTTGGCGGGCCTGGGCTGGGGATTCCAACCCGCCACCTTAGCTGTATGTGGCTGATGCCTTAGCTGATTGAGCCACAGGTGCTGAGCCTATTTTCTAAATCCAGAAAATAAATCCCTACCTGAGCCAACCCAACCATAGCTGGCAGTCCCAGGACCTTTGTGACACAGAGCAACATGACAGGCCTGTGTCCCTTCTGGCCCATGTGAACCCTGTTTCTGGGACTGAGACCTCAGAGTATCTCAACCCTGGGATACTGGGCTGGGCTCCCTGATGTTAGCAATACTGGAGCCACAGGAGGAACAAGGCTGTGGCTCCTGGTGCAAATCTTCTGGCTCTGTGCAGGGCTCCGAGTAGCTTAGCCTTGCCCAGAGAAGTTGGCTGTTGGTGTGTCAGTTTTTGTCACTGTGCCCAGTTTTGCTGCTTCATGTCCCTACACAGCTGGGAAGCTCAGATGGGACCTCTTTTATCTTTAACCTAACGGTTAAGAGGTTCAAAGCGGGCAGGCTCTTAGAAATCATTTGTGCTGGGCAGTGCCCGTGCCTCAGTGGGTAAGGCACTAGCCCCATATACCGAGGGTGGTGGGTTCAAACCTGGCCCCAGCCAAACTGCAACAACAACAACAAAAAAATAGCCAGGCATTGTGGCAGGCACCTGTAGTCCCAGCTACTTGGAGCCTGAGGCAAGAGAATTGCCTAAGCCCAGGAGTTGGAGGTTTCTATTAGCTGTGCTACCACGGCACTCTACCGAGGGTGACAAAGTGAGACTCTGTCTCTAAAAAAAAAAGAAGAAATCATCTGTGCAAACCCCTTCCTTTCACAGATAAAGAAACTGAAACTCCACAAGTTTGATTTGGCTAAAAATTATAGTGCTGGGGATTAGAAATTCAGGCTTCTCGCCTCCCAGCCCAAAGCACTCTTTAATCTACTTTTCCCTGGAAGAAGTGACAATCGTGTTGCCACTTGGCTTCTTCCTCCCTTTCTGGTACCATAGCTTGATACTTTTTCTCCTGAGAAAATAGTTATGTTGTTTTTGTTCTGTGTAGATCAGTGGTTGTCAACCTTCCTAATGCCACAACCCTTTAATACAGTTCCTCATGTTGTGGTGACCCCCAACCATAAAATTATTTTCAGGGTCACAGCCATTGGAGTTGACTGTCAGGATGTTGGTGGCACCACTGCCTTCACATGTGTTTCTCCACATGAAGTGACACATACAATCTCACGTGGGTTCAATAGCACATGTGTACGGTGCTTGCTACAGACAGTCATTATTGTTACCTCCCCCACCTGGGTCTCATGTTTACTCAGTGTACCTGCCCACACCTTCCCCCATGCCCTTCAATTCATCTGGACCATACAGGGGTCTGTTGTCACTGTTCTTGTGTATTTTGTCTTAGTGACCTTCTTCATTACTGGCAACTGCATGAACCAGACTTTGGACTCAGAGTGTGACTTTCTCAGGTTGAGTTTCAGGAGTGGGATTATAGGTACACTCAGGGATTTTTTTTTTTTTTGAGATAGAGTCTCACTTGGTCACCCTGGGTAGAGTGTCCTGGTGTCATGGCTCACAGCAACCTCAAAGTCCTGGGATCAAGTGATCCTGCCTTAGCCTCCTGAGGAGCTGGGACTACAAGCACCTGTCACAATGCCCAGCTAGGTTTTCTATTTTTAGTAGAGATGGGGTCTTGCTCTTGTTCTTGCTCAGGCTGGTCTTGAACTCCTGAACTCAAGGGATCTTCTCACCTCTGCCTCCCAGGATGCTGGGATTATAGGTGGGGAGCCACTATGCCCAGTCCCTGATGCTCAGGGATTTAAAACACAAGTACCCTTTATCCCTAATTAGTCTACTGCTTGTTTTGTGACTTTGTATCTCAGGGCAACATGGTTGAAGGCTTGAGTAGTCACATACGTCTGTCTGGTTTTTTTTAGAGACAGAGTCTAACTTTGTCGCCCTTGGTACAGCGTCATGGCGTCACAGCTCACAGCAACCTCCAACTCCTGGGCTTAGGCCTCAGCCTTCCGAGTAGCTGGGACTACAGGCACCTGCCACAACGCCCAGCTATTCTTTGTATGCAGTTTGGCTGGGCCTCGGTATATGGGGCCGGTGCCCTGCCCACTGAGTCACAGGCGCCACCCATGTCTGTCTTTTTCTTCATAGCTTTTGGGAGTCTGGTCTTGCTTAGAACAGTTTTCTGGGGCGTCGCCTGTGGCTTAGTGAGTAGGGCGTGGCCCCACGTACCGAGGGTGGCGGGTTCAAATGAGGCCTGGCCAAACTGCAACAACAACAAAAAAATAGCCCGGTGTTGTGTTGGGCGCCTGTAGTCCCAGCTACTCAGGAGGCTGAGGCAAGAGAATCACCTAAGCCCAAGAGCTGGAGGATGCAGTGAGCTGTGACGCCACAGCACTCTACCGAGGGCAACAAAATGAGACTCTGTCTCTAAAAAAAAGAAAAAAGAACAGTTTTCTGAGTGCCGAGGTTGTAGTTGTATATACATCACCTAGCTTTGTTAGATCCTAACATCTCCTATAGCCACTTCAGATCTTTCTTTGTTATAGAATTTTCATTATAGGGTGGTGCCTGTGGCTCAGTGAGTAGGGCGCCAGACCCATATACTGAGGGTGGCGGGTTCAAACCTGGCCCCGGCCAAACTGCAACAAAAAATAGCCGGGTATTGTGGCGGGTGCCTGTAGTCACAGCTACTTGGGAGGCTGAGGCAAGAGAATCGCATAAGCTCAAGAGCTGGAGGTTGCTGTGAGCTATGACACCATGGCACTCTTCCAAGGGTGACAAAGTGAGACTCTGTCTCTAAAAAAGAAAAAAAAATTTTATTATGTGAACACTGCACTGCAGACAAGAAAACTCACCATATTTTTTGGTGTATAATGCTCTCCCATGTATGATATACACCTATATTTTTGGCCCAAACTTTCAGGAAAATGTCCCTCAAGAAAGTGGTCTTCTGGCTCAGTGTCTATAGCTCAACCGGCTGAGGCGCCAGCCACGTACACCTAAGGTGGCAGGTTCGAATCCCCAGCCCAGACCCGCCAAACAACGACGGCTGCAACCAAAAAATAGCTGGGCGTTGTGGCGGGCGCC